CAACCTCAGCCAGTTTGTGAAGTGTTTTCTTCATTATTTTTTGTTCATGGCATCCACCTTCTGGTGTAGAAATCAGTCATCTTATTGAGACTTAAAGAGGGCTCAACAGTCATCATTAAGAATGTTTCCCTGGGCAAAGCCCTAAATATAGAGTCATTTTACATGCATGTTCTCTGTTCCCAACATGAAGCACCTAGAAGCAGTATCCCATAGCAATTGCCGAGTAGTGGAATGGACATGGGCTACTTAACTCTGTCCCATCTACAGTGACCAATGGCATCTGACCAGGGCTGTAGACACTGACTTGCTTTTAGGAAATTCATGGGCTGTGGCAGAAATCTTGCCTGGTTCATTCTGGGCACATACCTGGGGAAGCTGAGGCAAGGAGGATCACAAGTTCAGGGTCAGCCTCTGCAACTGAGTGAGATGAGACCCTGTCTTGAAAAATAAAAAGGACTGGAAAGCAGCTCAGTGGTAGTGCTCAATCCTAGTATCTCAAACCAAAACAAAGGAACAAAAACAGTTTTTCCCAGCTCTTGAAGAATAAGTGTGTGAACCCAAATTAGAACCCCAAAACCATCAACAGCTTGATCTGGAAATGAAAATCTCTCTTTAAAGTAAGTTCTCAAGCCAGGTGTGGAGACATGCACCTGTAGTGCTGGCTACCTGAGCTCGGGAGTCAGAGGTCAGCCTAAGCAAGACTGTGTGTGTGTGTGTGTGTGTGTGTGTGTGTGTGTGTGTGTGTGTGTGTGGTGGTATTTTTCAGGGTGTGATCTGGGGTTGTAAGCAATCCACCAGGGATAGGGTAGAAGTCATAAGATTTGAACTGATTTCTTAAACTTTTGGTATTTGTGCATCTCAATAATTTCTCATGACGTGAACTAGAATCTTTTGCTTAGTAAATTCTACATTGGTGTATATACTGATCCCAATTTTCCGGCATCACCTCGATGAACTACAGTTCAATTCAATTCTGACACTAACACGGCACAAACTGAGGGCAAGGTTCTGAACAAGGCTGCCCTTACTCAGATGCCCATCACAAGTGTTAAACATTCTGCTTCACACACAGTAGTTACCCAAGACACGTTTGCAGGATGAATGAACAAATTAGTGAATTAAAAATGTTATTTCATAGTATAAGATCCTTTACCATGAAAACCATACAGTAAGTTCTGTGATTTTGTGGACATGGGGCTGTTGTGACCCAAATATGTGGTTGCCAGGCAGAATCTAAAGCCACGGCATGGGAAGCCCCACCCCAGCACAGGGCAGTGGGGGCAGCCAGCTGCAGGCTGGACGTTGAAGTGTCCAGAGCTACTCCTCTCCCGTCTGAGTCAGGCTGAGGATCTGGTGACAAGGCCACCTGTGCTACCCCAGGACAAGAATCTCTATTAGATATAGCTCAGGCATCCTCAATGGGATCTTAGCAACCTCCTGGAACACGGACACAGGTAGCCAAATTCCAGAGAAGGCAACATTGCCTCAGAACCAGGGTTTAGGCTGCTAGTTTTTTTTTTTTCTTACTTACTGGGGTTTAACCCCAGGGGCAGTCTACCACCGAGCTACATTCCCAGTCCTTCTTATTTTGAGACAGGATCTTGCTAAGTTGCCCAGCATGGCCTTGAACTTGTGGTCCTCCTGCCTCAGCCTCCCGAGTTGCTGGGATTATAGGTGAGTGCCACTGTACTGGGCCACAGTGAAGTTTCATATCTAGTCCCAGGGATCATAACCTTTTTGTGTGTGTGTGTGTCATGGACCCCCTTGAACAGATTAGTGGATCTGGTGCACCTTTTATTGGAATAATGTTTTAAAATGCCCGACCTAAAACACTATGATTGGAAGCAGACCAGTGATGGTGAAATGTGATTCAATCAACATGTTGAAAAGGCAGAGTTGTACAGCTGTACATATGCCTGTTTACATATGAAGCAAAGAAAGTGGCAGATCTAATAACTGCCATAATTTTGAGATAGTGAAGAGCATAAATGCTACCATGCATATCTGTAGGAACTGATTTCTACTGGTGACATAATAAAAATAACACCTTGGTTCACTGCCAACATGCACAACAGAAGGAAATACTACCTTGCAGTTGGAGCTTAGTGAAATTAGGATAGGTGGTGATTTTCTTCACTATTCCTTCAAGTTCACAGACCCCTGAATCCTAGTCATCCTCCTTGTTTGATGTATAAGTGTAAGACGCTTGAATCTGTCTATGCCTCCATTGGGGATAAAGGCACTATATCAATACCTGTTATTGACCAGTTGTTCTGTCTCGATGCTGAACTTCTTCAGAGCATATGGATTATAGATTTGTAATACATGCACTTATTTTTACTCCCTCTGCATACAACTGTATACAAAAGCAATGTACAAGTATGTGTATGAGGATTTTTCTGGAATAAATAAGGTAAGCTTGGTCTACTATTTTGTTTGAAGGCAAGTGTTCACTCTGATAAAAATTAAGCTATGGTCAGTATCAGATTTAAACACTTGTTGGGACGCATCCTTTATATTACTTTAATGAAATTAGCACATTCTAGTCAAAGAAAACAAAATAACCCTGGCAATTGAATAATGAGTATTAATTGGGGGCAGGGTATGGATTGGTGGTAGAGTGTATGTTTAGCATGTGCGAGGCCCTGGGTTCAATTCCCAGCACCATTAAAAAAAAAAAAGTATTAATGAATGGCTTGACTGATCGCCCTGCTGCCAATTCCAGGTTCACCTCCACTTCGGTACCAGTGGATCTGTACAGTGTTGTTTGAGCTTTCATGGGTGATCCTTCTGGCCCGGGACTTCTCCTTTGCACTGCCAGCCATCAGGTGGGGGGGGGGGGACAATCGTTGTGTGCCTGGTGTGTAGCTGGGGCCCCTTACCATTTTTGTCCATTCTGATATAGAGGCAGACAGAAATCAGGATCTGCCCTTCTTGGGAAGATTTCCAGCTTACACTCACTCACCAGGCCAAAGTTCTACTATTATTATTTTCCTTCCCATATTGTGGTCTCAGAAAAGATGGTTGATAATTGGCTTCTCCCAATCCTCCCCCTAAATAGTACAGCTGTCCCTCAGTATCCTGGGACATTCATTCTGGAACCCCCTACAGATAGTAAAATCTGAAGATGCTCAGATAGTGTTTGCATAGAACCTACAAAATCCTCTTTATACTTAAAATCATTTTTAGTTATTTGTAATACCTAACATAATATAAATGTTATGGAAATGGCCATCTTACGGCATTGTTTAGGAATAATGATAAGGAAGTATGTACTTGTTCAGATGTGGTTTTCTTTTTCAGAATATTTTTGATCACGGGTTGTTTGAATCCATGGAGGTGGAACCACAGATATGGAGGATGGACTCTCCATGGCCCTTCATGGACATGGAGGATGGACTCTCCTTCCTGCCTGTGAACACCTCTTGTCACGGTGGGTAGAGGAGCCTGTTAGTTCACCTGCCAGGATCTTCCTTCCAGCAGGAGTGTGCTCTCCACACAGTAGGGTGCTCTCCACACAGTAGGGCAGCCAAGGAGAGAAAACAGGTGAGCAGAGCCGCAGGGGACACCAAGAGGGTTAAAAATGAGCCTCCACCTGGGGAAAGAGTTTGAGTCCCCCCAACACCTAGAGCCTGGTCCTGCCTAGGAGCGCACTGAGGGAGACTTCCGCACAGAGGGACGGGGCTGTTGCTTTTTGGAGTCGCCTGGTGAACCCAGTAAGGAAGGACGCCCTTGGCCTAAAATCTTAGCAAAGTACGTTTCTAAAATATGTTTTCCCCTAGAATGCTTTCAGAAATAGAAAATGACACTTTAAATGACAGAGGAAAGTAATAAAAACATGAAGAGTGAAAGCAACATTTAAAAACAAATCACTCCTTGGGACTGGGTTGTAGCTCAGGGGTAGAGAACTTTCCTAGCCTGTGTGAGGTACTGGGTTCAATCCCCAGCACCACATAAAAAAATAAATAAGGAGAATAAAGGTACGGTGTCCACCTACAACTAAAAATATTAGAAAAAGAAAAGAAAAGAAAACCCTCAAGCAGCTTTTATTTAAAAAAAAAAAATCACTTCACAATGAGACAGGCTGCTTCCTGGTACATTATGTGGACGGTGAATTCACCTTAAGGGCTCCTAACCATCAAATGGATTTACCTCCAGGAAATGCTGGTGAGCTGTATATTTGGGGGGGGGGTACCCTCAATAAAGGGCAGGGACAGGGAGGGGACATTTGTTATTCTTGGGCCAGGCAGCCTTTGAATGGGGAGCCTTTTCAGTTATCAAACAACGTTTTGGAACAAACTAAATTGTTCATAAAGTACATTATGGGCCGAGTGGGGTCACTGGAGAGGGCAGTGCAGGAGCCACAGGAAGGACTCCACAGGACGTGCCTCAGGGTCATTTAGGGTATTTATGGTGACCATTTTACTTATACTGCTTAGAGGACAATCACTCCTTGTTAGTTCCTGAATCCTTGGTTTTGTTTTAACTTTTGCATGATTTTATATTATTGTAGGAAGAAAGGGAAACAAAGAAGGGTCAGGAACTCTCAAGAGAGGGGAACAGGCCATAAAGCATTCTCTACCAAGAATGAAGGGCTGGGCCAAAGGAAAAACATTTGCCAAACACCTGACCTTTAAGAGCTATGTTTCCTAGCCCTATGGGCCCTAGAAACCTCAAACAGCACTGGAGATTCATTCACTGGTGGAAGGAACCAGCACATATCCAGTTGTTTTAAGTCAGTGATGTCAATTTCACTGGAACCAAGAAGCAGCTCTGGATGTACAGTGCACTTTGTTCCAAGAGACCCCACAATTCTCCAGCCGTCGGAAGATCTCACAGTTGACCAGATGTTTCTAGGCATGTTTCATTTCTTTGCTGTCACATTTATAAAGCTCTGAATGCATTCACAATTTCCAGGAAAATGGCCTCAGGTAACAACCCACCAACTTCACATGGACAGTGACCTCCAGAGAGCAGTTTTATCTGGCACCAAAAAGTGGTTATTTTTCTAGATATGTTTATTTTCAGCTCAAAGACAAAACGGGGGGTGTAGCTCAGTGGCAGAGCACTTGCCTAGCATGCATGAGACCCTGGGCTCTATCCCCAGCACTGGAAAAAAAGGGGACAAAATAAGAAACTCTGTAGTGGAAAATGTACCTTTCAGTTCACACTCTTGCCATCCCTTAGTCCTCAGAAAATAAACACTCTAAGTATAAGCAGCGGAAAATAATGTAAACTCTGCAGAAGCAGAAAGTAAATTCGTTTCTTTCAGACTTGCTGGAGGTCCTCTGCTGCAAACAGAATTCCTCATGAACGGAGAAGTCTTTGGCCTATTTCATCATTTCCCCGACATTGCGTAACGGGCATATTTCAAATTTACTTTTTTCTCCAACTGCAGCAAAAAGGCAATGAGTCTTGTTTGAGGAATCTGAAAAAGAAGGAAAAAAATGTTTTAGTAGTAGAACAACTTTTGGGGTTCAACTGTTACTATGTTGCACTTCTGAAGTTTGGGGCCACCAGAAAATTCAAGTGACTTCATTCACAAAAAAAGGGGCCAGGACACTGCAGGGAAGGTTTTCCCTGGGAGAAGTGAGACTGGGATTTGGCCTCAGCATGGCTCCTGGATCCAGCACCTGAACTTCCCAACAGATTCCAGAATTTCCATGACTTCCAGATAATGGTCGGCAGGATCCTGTGAACGTTTAGGATTTTAGATTAGGAATGTGGCTGCCTTGGATTTCAGTTCCTCTCTTACATAGTGGGCACAGAAGGCAGGGTCTGAAAATGCTCTGGGGACAAGAGGAAGTGGGCGGACCTGGGACTTCCTGTTGTTAAAGCTTTGTTGATTTTTCTCAGAGAGTCCTAAGATCCTTTGCCCATCTTAAATCCTGCAACCTTTTAGAAAGAGAAAGTGATCAGACTATATTTTAAAGATACCAAACAGCAGGGTGGTGCACTCCTGTAATCCCAGTGACTCGGGAAGCTGAGGCAGGAGGGTGGCAAGTTCGAGGCCAGCCTGGGCAACTTACTGAGACCCTGTCTCAGAATAAAACATAAAAAAGGACTGGGGATGTGGCTCAGTGGCAAAGCACCCCTGGGTTTGGGTATCAATCCCTGATACCCAAACAAAAGAAAAACAAATGAAACAAAACACCTAAGTTTCCAGAAAAAAAAAAAATCCTTCCCCATTGCAGGAAAAATGGAGATGCAAGCACATGGCGTTTCATGTGGATGACACCAGGAAGGGTCTCTGTGGGCCACCAGAGCTCACTCTGCTGAAATGCAGTAACCTGGCCTCTCACGGATGACTGAGCCGGCTGGAGGTACAGGGGACGCTTGATGGGTTTAAAAACACAAGACAGAGACAGAGAGGGGACAGGAACTTCAATACTCCCTAACACTGGATTCCAAGTCAGGGGAGTGAACAGAACACAGAAGTGTTACGAGTACAATAAACACGAACAAATAGAAAATATCTGAGATGTTAGGGAGGAGGTGCACCTGTGCAGCCCCTGCCCCAGAGACACAGCCGGCATCACCTTGGTGGCTCTAGTGAGCCCTAGGAGTGAGGGGTGCTGGGGCAGATCGGGGTGGGTTTTGCTGGCTGGGGAGGACCCTGGGCTTGGCCAGGCCAGGCTGGCCTAAGGCTGCAGAGGTGGCCGGGGAGGACCTGTTGCGGAGCCACACTGCCTTTGTCCTCTGCAGTACTGTGGTTGGAGGGGCTTAGAGTTTGTGTTCTCACCTTTTAAGGAAACTTGAAGGGTTGGCGAAAGTATAGAAAGACTGATTATAGATGGAAAAAAGAAATCAGACATGCAATCGCTAAGGTGAGAATGTAAAAAGCAATCAGGTGTTTATTCAGTGGGAAAGTAGATTGGAAGGCAGAATCTAAAACATTCTATTTTGGTTATGGAATGATCAGAAATAAAAAAGTGCCCCCCAGATGCCTTTGAAGGGGATCTAAGAATGTCACAATTGTTGCCTAAGCTTCAAAACATCTCATTTTAGTCAGATAGGGGAGATTTCATGATCACCATCTTTCAGCTGCCAGTGAGGACGGTTTAGGTAGCAGGACACCCATCCTACCCGGACCCTGCCTGGAAATGGGAGAGGGAGAAGGGGTGTTCTACTCCTAGGAAGGCCCAGGGTGAGGACTGGGCCTCTTTCTTAAAGCACAAGGGTGCTGAGCAACTTTTGAGAACCTCTGTGAAAATATAAGGTTTCAAGACCCAAATCACAAAGTGCAGGTGCTCTCCTGGGGCATCCTGCAACCCTGTGGTGTGTGAGCTGGGGCTGGACAGGCCCTGTCCACAGAAGGGCTGGTACAGATCTACCCAACTCAAGGTTCATTCATGAGCCAACTGCAGTACACACACCTGTGATCCCCAGTGACTCTGGAGGCTGAGGCAGGAGGACTGCAACTTTGAGGTCGGCCTCAGCAACTCAGCAAGACCCTGTCTCAAAATGAAAAGGGCTTGAGATGTAGCTCAATGGTAGCGTACACCCAGGTTCAACCCTCAGTACCAACAAAAGATTAATTTATAAATATTAAGTCCCTTTGATAGTTTCTGCCCGAAAAGCAGTCTAGGGCAGAAATGAGCTGGTATCATGCTTCTTTCTGTGTGCATGATTCTAGAAACGCAGTTCTCTGGTAGATAACTCACAGCGATAGCAGGAATAGAGGAAATCTGGTTCTGTACTGAGCTTAGCTTTGCACATCAGCATGAAGGGAAGGAGGGAGGACCCGAGTTCCTCAGGGATTTTCAGTGTCTTCACTTGGACGGACCCAGCCAAGGCTCAGAAATACGATGAAGGTTCAGGATGAGAAACCGGAAGAACAGAACAAAACAAAACAGACCCAAACCCAGCCACCTCCAAGCCAAAGACGGAACAGCAGGATCGATTGCACTGGGACAAAAGCTTATTTTAACTCTCACTGTTCAGTGGCATTTGAAGGAAGGAACCAGGCCCTCATCCAGCCTGAGGAAAGCACCTCAGGGAAGAATCGGGACAGAGGAGCCGAAGCTCAGATCCCCGCGACTTCTTGGATCTCACGCTCACATTCAGCTTCAGCAATTTCCTAGAGGGGTGAGGCAGGCAGGAAAGGCCAGGGGGGAAGGGGAGGAAGGAAAGCAGTCACCCACTGTCTGCTGTCCTCTCCCCACGGGGACACATCTGCGCCACGGTCCTTGGAGAATAAGGAATGTGCTGCTCAGCAGCTCAGGGTCCAGGGCCACTTGGGATCTGGTCCCTATGACATCAAAGCTGGCCCACCAGATGCTTCTTTTTCTGATGCCCAATCCAGTCCGAGCCGAAGGCCATTTAAGGGGTCTTATCTTTATTTATTTATTTGTTTATTTTTGGCACTGTAGATTGAACTCAGGGGTGCTTAACCATTGAACTACATCCGTAGCTCTTTTTTTATATATATATATATTTTATTCAGAGATAAGATCTGGCTGAGTTGCTAAGGGCCTCACTAAGTTGCTGAGGCTGGCTTTGAACTTGTGATCCTCCTGCCCCAGCCTCCCAAGTCACTGGGATCATAGGCATGCACCACCGCGCCAGCTATTTTTTCTATTGTTAGTGGCTGCAGACCTCTGACTGTTGGTGCAGTGGTCTCTGCTCACCGTGAGAGGCGCAGGCAAGAGCAAGAATGTTTGCTGGATCATGACGCTGAACGGCTGCTGAGGGAGCGCTGCTGGAAGGGTCTTGGCCCTTTTCGATTGTTTGGGCAGGGTCAGGTGAGGGATTTGAACTGCTGCCCAGCAGAAGAGTATTTAGCAGCTCAGGAAGAAGCAGCCTTGGATAAACAAGGGCAAAAAAAAAATGCAAACTAGAGAATTAAGAGGTAGCTCCATATGCTTGAAAAGAATTTTGATAAAGTTCTACCTTTCAACACCTGCATAATTATCTTTAAATGATCATAAATATCTTTAAAAACTCATCCTATTCAACTAGCTGGTTTTAAATTTCAGAACGGATGGAAGTCCATGTAGCCTGTGATTGAAGTTAAATGGTCTGGGGGAATAAAGGGTGCTTGAGAGTGAGAGTAGGTGGGTCTGGGCTGAATCCTGGCTTCTGGGGTCATTAGCTGTGTGATGTGGGCGGGCTGTTCCCCTCTCTGGGCCAGCGTTTACACAGCTCTGATATAAGAACACTGCAAACCTGTGGGTCACAAGAGGGGCAGTGTGGGCAGCGGGAAGGCAACCAGGCAGTCCCATGGCCCTCAGCCTCTGCTTCTTCGTGACCACCAGGGAAGGACTGGCTTTCCTGAAGCCAGTGGCTTCTCAGGACACCTGTCCCAGAGGGTATTGTGACCCACCGTGGCAGGTGCTGAGCACAGTGGGAGGTGACCACTGCGGCCCAGTGTCCGACCACAACTCCTGCTGGATCCTCAGGTGACCCCAGAGGAACCCTTGTGGGGGAATCCGGCATGTGGAGAAACGAAGGGCCCAGGCATGAGCATCACCAAGGCTGGGGGCACGTCCCTGGGCATCTCCCTTGGGCTCATGTGACCTACTTGGAGAGCAAGTGAAGACCGACCGAAAGGCTGGAAAAACACTATTCAAGAGAGATGAGAGAACTGTACACACTTGTTCTGGAGACAAGTGACAAATGACAGAAATGTACCGTACAGGGCTGTGACATGAGAAGAGAGATTTGTTAGGACCAGGGTCAATTTTCGGCTTCGGAGAAATGATGTGGTTATTTTCTGAAGGCCAGGCTGGGAAATCTGAGATGCTCACAACACACAGAGGCAGAACAAAGACCCAATCCACCCTGGTTCCAGCGCGGATGGGCTCCTTTGTTAAACTAGCCACCACATTTCTTTTCTGAGTTTTCTTCTTTAGGAACGATGAAGACAAAACGTGGTTATGGGTAAACGTGGACCTGACTCCTGCTTCTCGGCGGCAAACACATAAACACCCCCGAATGGACCTCATGGCACAAGACAAACAAGTCCACACCACGCCTTGACCACAGTTCATGTAGGCAGCTCCTTGCCTTCGTCCCCACGGCCAGCCCTTAGGTTTTAGTGGGAAGACTTACAGGAAAGAGAAAATCTCCCCCCATGTGGACTCCTGCAGTGAAGTCATGGGAGTCTTGCAGGCCCAGCTTGGGCCTCACTGAGAGTCGGCTGGAGAGGGACCTTTAGGTCAGGCAAGCTCATCCGAAGGCCCAGAATGTTCTGGCAAGAGGAAGGGGTCCTGGGCTAAGGAACAGGGGTGGACGTGTTGGAGGAAGGACTGTCTCCTGAGAATATGCTGGGCATGCTGCTCTAGAGATGGAGAGGGAGCTCCATGCCCTGAGGACTTCTGACCCAAAACTTTCTGGGGAGGAGGACTGGGAGTGTGGCTGGTCTCCATGACAGGAAGCCAGCAGGTGTGGCCGAGTTGCTGGCTGAGGGGTGGACAGCTCTGGGCTCAGAAGCTGCAAGTGAAGCCCCCGCCCTCCCCAAGCCAAAACCCTGTGGATCAGGAGCCAGCAAGTGCCCTGGTTCCTGTGGCTCTGTCCTCTCTGTGACTCACGGGGCCCCCTGAGTTAGAAGATCTGCCCATCTGTCCGTGTCCCTCCAGAAACAGGAGAGCCTAAGGCACCGCTGTGCCACAGTCAAGGGTCGAATGTGTCTCCCAAAGGACACATTAGAGCCCTAATCCTGAGCATCTGTGACATGACCTTATTTGAAAATGGGGGCTTACGCAGAGTAACTTCTTCGTGAAGATGAGGTCATTGGTGAGGATGTGGGGGGAAAGATACATTCCTACATTGCTGGGGGAACTGAAAATTAATGCAACCACTCTAGATAGCAGTGTGGAGATTCCTCAGAAAACTCGGAATGGAACCACCATTTGACCTAGTTATCCCACCCCTTGGTTTATACCTAATGGACTTAAAATCAGCATACTACAGTGATATAGCCACATCAATGTTCATAGCATCTCAATTCCCAATAGCTAAACTATGGAACCAACCTAGATGCCCTTCAACAGGCGAATGGATAAAGAAAATATGGTGTGTATATACACAATGGACTATTACTCAGCCTTAAAGAAGAATGAAATTATGGCATTTTCTGGTAAATGGATGGAACTGGAGAATATCATGTTATAATATCATGTTATTAATCCCAAATAAGCCAATCCCAAAAAACCAAAGGCTAAATGTTTTCTTTGATACACAGATTCTATTTCATAATGGGAGGGGGCATCTAGGGAAGAATAAAGGTACTTTGGATTAGACAGAGGGGAGTGAAGGGAGGGGAGGGGGTGGGGGGTAGGAAGGATAGTAGAACGAACCAGACATTATTACCCTATGTGCACATGACTCTATGACCTGTGTGATTCTATATCATGTACAACCAGAAGAATGAGAAGTTATATGCCATTTACGTATGATGTGTCAAAATGCATTCTACTGTCATGTTTAACTAGTTAGAACAAATAAAAAAATGAATCCTTAAAAAAAAATAGATGAGGTCATTATGGTGGGTCTGAGTCCAATATGACTGGTGTCCTTACAGGAAGAGAAGGCCACGTGAAGACAGACTCACAGGAGAACCCCAGGGAGAGACTGGAGTGAGGCACTGCATGGCGGGGATGCCCCGAGGCACCCTTGGAGGAAGCATGACACCTTGACCCTGACCTTCACACCTCCAGCACGGCAGGAGAGCAAATTTCTCTTGTTTTAAGCCCTCCTTCTGGGGTACTCTATTATGGTAGCTCTAGGAAATGAACACACCGAGGTTCCTTTGACTCATGAGCATCTACTCTGTACCAAAGAATGTGCGGTAGAGAGGTAAGAAGTTACTCTTTCAAAGGGCCTGTGGATTGACCACTAATTCCAAGTCCACACCTGGGCGTGGACCCAACTCATGAATAGCCATAAGGTAGGAACTTGTGGGAATCAAGGAAGGACTTTAATCACTTTTTTTTTTTTGTACAGGGAAGTAAATCCAAGACCTCTGAGCCACATCCCCAACCCTATTTTGTATTTTATTTAGAGACAAGGTCTCACTGAGTTGCTTAGCACCTTGCTGTTGCTGAGGCTGGCTTTGAACTTGTGATCCTCCTGCCTCAGCCTCCTGAGCTGCTGGGATGATGGGTGTGCAACACCGCGACCAGCAACTAATCACTTTTATAACCAGTATCAGAAAAACAAAACAAAAAAGCATTTGAACTGAAACAACAGAAAAGGAAGAAAAAGTAAAAATACAACAGCTTACCTCGAGTGGTCCTGGGAGGTCTCCTGCCGTTAGAACAAACCTTTCACTTGCTCTGTTTCTGTGTCCAGGTCTATGTCATAAAAGCAGGGCCGAGTGGGAAGCCCTGGCATCGTGCTCATCTGGAGGGAAAACAAATGCCACAGAGTGATCACACTGGACACTGTTGGCCTAGTGACACCAATTAGCCACAGCGCTGGGTCCAGCCTCGTGTAATATTAGGCTATGTATACACACCTTTCTTTAGGTTGGCTAGCTGTTATTTCGTTTCCTCTTCTTTTATTTATTTATTTAATTTTGATATTTCTTAGTTGTTGATGGACCTTAATTTTATTTATTTATATGCGGTGCTGAGAATTGAGCCCAGTGCCTCACACATGCCAGGCAAGCGCTCTTCCACTGAGCTACAACCCTGGCCCCTGTCATTTCAATCTCTAGAAAGGCTAGGTGTTGATTCCTGAAATTTAGCCCGTGTGCTCTCCCCATAGTCCACAGCACACCAAACCTTTTCTTCCCAGTCAAATCTTTGTGCTGAACCCCAACTCTGGGTGCATGGGTTGCGAGTGTGGGTGGAGTGAGTGGCGGCTTCTCCTCACCTGGAGGTACATGTTTTGGTAAAACCTCCAGTGCAGTGTGAATCTGTTCTGGAGGCCCCAGTCACCTGCCCACCTCGGCCAGTCTCAGGTGTACTTTGAGCCAGGCCCTTGGGCTCAGTGTTTTGCCTGCTTTATATTCTCAACAATCTACATGGGAAGTATTTTCATTATTTCTATGTTACAAAGGAAGAACCTGAGGTTCAGAGAGATGCCCAAGGGCACATGGGTAATAAATGCCATACAGGGACTCTGACTCTGTCTGCGATGTCACTCCAACTCATGTCCCCACCACACAAAAACCTGTGTGACACACAGGGTTTTGCATGGATGACTTCATCCAGCTCCCTGCACCCTTGGACATAGGTACTGACTTCCACCTCACTTTACAGATGAGTCCAGGGATGTTTAGGTAGAAAGGCAGATACAGTACAGTCAGTGCTGGGAGCAGTGGAGCATGCCTCGGAGACTTGGGAAGCTGAGGCAGGAGGATCGAAAGTTCAAGGCCAGCCTCATTAACTTAGCAAGGCCCTGTCTCAAAATTAAAAATTACAAGAGTTGGGGACATAGTTCAGGGGTATAGAATCTCTGGGTTCGATTCCCAGCACCAAAAAAGGAAAATGAAACAAACCAAACCAAACCAAAAAAGGGTAGTTAGTGGCAGTGCAGAATGAAGCCCAGTTCCTCTCGTCTTTGCTGGGCCAAGTTGAATGAGCACTTTAAAAGGTGCTCTTTGTCCCCAGCTTCAGAAACCACAGGTGTGCCAGGAAACATACTGGTTTCCAGGGATTCTCACACACTAACCTTGCTCCAGGATCTGGATGTGAGGCTCCCGGATAACCTGCTCCTCCATTTCTGTCTTTCCTGCCGTGCCCTAGCAGTGATGCTCACGGGCACAGGGGCATCTGATGGGTACCGGGGCAGTACCTGGGCCTCTGCCTAGCCCAGCTCTCCCAAGGTTAAGTGCTGCACCCCGCAGGGTCCAGCTGCCCCGGCCCAGAGCGTCCCTCAGGAGGCGCAGCCAGGAGGCGGTTGGTGCTCAAGCTCCTCCATGCTCCGCTTCCTTTGCAGGGGATTGAATTTCGCGCTTCACCACCTCTCCTGCCTCCATGTATAGGATCTCCTCTCACTCAAAAGGCCCTCTGTGGCCAGCAGCAGCCCAGACGTCTGTTAGGAATTCAGAGCCCCCAGACCTGCTGGAGAAGAGCTGCAATGACAGCAGGTGCCCAGGGGACTTGGAGGCACACTGCAGCTTGAGGACTCCCAGGGCACCCACTGCCACTGGTAACCTCACCGCCCTTCTCCTTCAGCCCCAGGGAAAGGCAAGGGCCAAAGAACGTTTTAGATCCCCACTCCTGCAGTGCCACCCTGTCCCACCTGGCAGCTGGTGGAGAGCAAATCTGGGCACCTACAGGCCCCATTAACTGTTCCTCTCTGCCCCGTTAGGCCTGGGAGTGGGAGTGGGGAGGGGGACAGGGCAAGGGGCAGGCGCAGCACACTGTGGTGGCTGGCGGTGGCTGCTGTCTTGCTAACGGAACAGGCCTGCACTTCAGGGCTGTATGGCTAAGAGGGCTTCTGAGGCTGCCTGGAGGAAAGCTCCCGGAACACATTGGTGGCATCCTGGGCTCCAAATCGCCAACCACAAGGAAACTTTTTTTGGGGGGTGGGTGGTACTGGGGATTGAATCCAGGGGTGCTTAACCATTGAGCTACATCCCCAGCCCTTTAATATATTTATATTTAGAGATGGGAGCTTAAAAAGTGGCTTAGAGGCTCGCTAAGTTGCTGAAGCTGGCCTTGAACTTGTATTCCTCCTGCCTCCAGGTCCCAAGTTGCTGGGATTACAGGTGTGCCCTTTTGTGCCCAGCTATAAAAGCTATTTTAAGATACTTGTACTGCAATCTGCATGGGGCTATGGAGAAGGAAGCAGCATTTAATAATTAGAGAGAAATAAAGGAATGATCGTATTCAGCTGTAATTTCCCCATCCCTTAATTCTCTGGGCCCAAAGCATCCTTTACTAGTAAGGAACTCACGTCAACACTGTGGCAGGTGCTGCTCCAGAGGCTGCAACACTGTCCACTTTAAAACAGAATTCAGTAACAGGAGGGTCAAGTTTAAATCCACCTGAGGTGACAAAACCCAATTTGAACTCTGAAGGAAGTATATGTGGGGCAACCAAGGCAACTGGAGAGTCTACTGTGGATAACCCACTGTCCCCCCTGCTTGAGTACCCACTCTTTCTACAGAAGAGAACAGTCAACTCTCCAGCAGGAACTTTGAGCCGATGAGAGGCCAAGATTGACGAAGGCAGGGTATGTATGACCCGTGTCTTCCTAGAGGAGGATCCACTGGTCGCCATGAACCAGAATGTGGGTCTTCTGGTCTGATTCTGTGACCAAGTTGGGAGTCAAGTCAGCTAAAATACTTTGCGTCAGTCAGTGTGTCATGTCTTTCCTTCATTTTGATTTATTCTTTCAAATGGGAGAGAAATGAGTTTAATCAAAAGATTCCCATGTGCCTTCCCAATGATGCAATAAGCCCTTCCAAGAATCTGGACTCCTTATTTGGAATAAGCAAGAGCAGACGAGAAACCGCACAGCACTCTAGAGCCCAGAGGCTCCCTGGCCTGTGGGTACACAGTCGCCTCTAGTCTATTCCTACGGTAAAAACTTTCCTGCTGAGCAAACACGACTCGGGGTGATGTGAGCAGAACTTACACCTTCACTGGATATTCTCTCCCCATGAAAAACTTACCAAAGAATCCCAGCTCTTAGAGGAGACTCAGTTCAGAGAGCCCTTGGGAGTTGACCCCTGGCCACATGCCCAGGGTCACTGGGCTCCGTGTTTACTTTATCTCTGTGCCCTCTAAGGAGGCCTCCTGCTTAAAATAACTAAGGAGCTACTAAATCGTACTTACTTGTCACGGAGCATTAGTGGATTCTTTTACAAAGGCCAAGAAACATAGGCTTTTTGCCCTCATGACCCTAACTTTGACTATAATAAATCTTCCAAATCTTTAACTTAGGGTTAACATTATTTTGGGGAAACAGTAAGTTCTACAAATAGCCTTTATGAATATACATTAAACACCAGTAAAGAGAAAATGGGCGGCTGGGATTGTGGCTCAATGGTAGAGCGCTTGCCTAGCACATGCGAGGCCCTGGGTTCGATCCTCAGCACCACATAAAAATAAATAAATTAAATAAAGGTATTGTGTCCAACTACAACTAAAAAACCAATATTTAATAAAAAAAGAGAAAATGGACATACATTTAAAAAGTAGTCATTTAAGAAGTACAAAAATATTCTTGGCATGAACAGAAAAATTATTATTAATGATTATTTCGGGCTGGGGATGTGGCTCAAGTGGTCACTCGATTGCCTGGCATGTGCGGGGCGCTGGGTTCAATCCTCAGCAACACATAAAAATAAAGATGTTGTGTCCACCCAAAACTGAAAAATAAATATTAAAAAATTCTCTCTCTTCTTTCTCTCTTAAAAAAAAAAAAAAAGAATGATTTCAGGTGGGCAGGATAGCACATACCTGTAATCCCAGTGACTCAGGAAGCTGACAGGATCAGAAGTTTGAGGTCAGTGAGGCCAGCCTCCACAACTTAGCAAGGCCCTGAGAAACTTAGTGAGATCCTATCTCAAAATTAAGATAAATAGATAAATAAATAAAAAGAGCTGGGGATATAGCTTAGTGGCAAAGCACCCTGGGATTCAATCCCTAAGTTCAAAGAAAAAAAAAGTTGTCTCAAAAAGCAATAGAATTTTAATTTCTACTTAACCGAAATATCATTGCAATTAGTTTTGTTGTGCTTGTGAGATAATCTATTTTCTGATTTCTCCTTAAATCTACTACTTTTTCCTTCTGAATAAGCCATTTAGTTTTATTTTGATTCAGAAGAGCAATAGCATTTTTTTTTATGTATGTATCTGTATTTTTTTTTTTTTTTTTTTTTGGTACCAGAGATTGAACTCAAGGGCACTCAACCACTGAGCTCCAGCCCCAGTCCTATTTTGTATTTTATTAAGAGACAGGATCTCACTGAGTTGCTTAGCACCTTGCTTTTACTGGGGCTGGGCTTTGAACTGGAGATCCTCCCACCTCAGCCTCTTGAGCCACTGAGATAACAGGTGTGCACCGCCACGCCCGGCTCTGTTTTGTTCTTACAGTGGAAGGAAATCCTTCTACCTTTTTCTTTTCTTTCCAGAAGATGGCTAATATGTAGGACAACTTGTTTAAAATACTTAACCAGAAACAAAACAAAACAAAACACTCCTGTACTGGTTAACAATTGTTCAAGTAAATTACATGGAGACCAGGCTAGAAGATTCCCTGAGCAGATAAAACCAGGGAGGCCCCACAGGGACCTACACCTTGCTTGACTTGCAAACATAAGGGAAACTTGACATGAACTCTTTGTTGTAAACAAGATTTTTCTCTTTGATGAAATATCTAAAAATTTAACATCTTTTTAAAGCACAGTTATTTTCTGAACTGTTTCATAGAGTGTCTGGCAAT